GGATCAGGCTGGAGGGACGGATGGGGGAGAGAGGGGGGGGTGACGGGAGGGGGGGCACTATGAATCCATGAATTGTGAAGTCAGTGAAGTCAAACCAGCCGTCGGAGCAGCGTCACAGCTGACCACAGAGCAGCAGGTGCAGCGCCACCTGTCTGCAGACCTGTGCGTTAGCACCTGCCACTGAGGTATGATAATGAGCAAATGATATAATTGACTGTTTCATTAGAATAATAGTTCAATTTGTGCTCTGAAACAATTAGAATTTTAATTATGATTAATGTTGGCCGCGGCTCCTGTGATCATGGATTGATCAACGACATCCGTGAAATGAAATATTAGCATGATAATAAGGGTTAAAATGAGTTAATGAATTAACAATCGAACACACTTCCTTCTGAGGAACTGAATTGGTAGTGACTAAAACAACAATTCCAGTAACCCACTGCCCCCCCCCTCCGGTCGGGACAAACGTCTCCACTGTTACCATAACATTGTTTTTATTAAATGCATCGCTTCCTTTCTCTAATGAGAACCACAGCATCTTTTTTTACTCCCTGAACCGAGGGCCTGATGGTAAATTGTAATTACCAGAGAACGGCTGCCAGTAACACGGAGACTGGAGACTGTTGCAGATCCAGGACTGTCACCACTTGCCTCACAGACAGGATTGAACAGAACCTCAGCATAGCGTGAAGCTCTGCAACAAGAACACAAGGGAGCGTGCCAAGGCATCGGCTCTGAGGTGTGCTCTCTAAACGCTGCAGGAACCAGGCCAGCTATAAAAAAAAAAAAAACTGTTTTGGTGGAGCGTCTCCGTGTCACATGTGACCCAGCCTTAAAACAGCACTTGATGAACAAGTGTGTTTGGGTTCATTGTGAAATAAAAGAAAAATCCCAAACAAATAACTGGTTCTGATGTGGAGCTGGTTCACCTGGACTCACGGTCCTACGGCCTTTTTTTTTTTTTTACTCCACCAGTTCAGCTGTCCACCAGCAGAGGCGCTGGTGAAGGCAGGGCAGGAGAGGGGCTGGGAAGGAAAGGGCAAATCTCTTTCTACTTTCCGCCGTGGTGTTTGAAGTCTAAAATCTTTTGCAGGGTTTTAAACATCTGTTTCCAAACTGCCAGCAGCCACTAATTAGAGTTCAAAACAAGACGGGACGTCGTGAGAACCCTGGGGTGGGCATGAGGCGACATGCACGCCCCGCGAAGAAGGAAAAAAAAAAAAAAAAGAAAACACAGCATTCCTTTGCCTAAAGACTCATTCTCTGGAAGCGGGGGGGGGGGGGGCTTTGTAGTGGTTTTCTATAGGACTTGAATACTTCAAGGTGCGCAGTGTTTTACGGTACGACCGCTCGGCCTGACTCACTCAGTTTTGGCCGCGGCCTCTGACTTCAGGCTCTCTCTCTTTCTCTCTTTCTCTCTTTCTCTCTTTCTCTCTTTCTTTGTAGTCAGAGTGAAGTGTTAGTCACCGTGTGCCGACCTCGGCCCCAAGACTTCACTGTGAGCTCCTCTCATCTGCTACATTTATATGAGTTATAATGGCAATTATTTGGACTGTAATTAATCACAATTAATTTATATTTATGCCCATTCATAAATATGAGATCAGTTTTTGTTTTTTCTGTATATTTCTAGAACAAATGTTACTGAAAATCAAGGACGGGGAACGCCTTCAGGGTTTGTTGTCTTTGTTTGTTAAATAAAAACTGTGGAAATGATTTTGTTTTTTTAAATCAACCTGTTATGCTCGCAGGCAAATTACTTTGGCTTTGAATCCTGTCAAAGGTCACCGCAGGTCAACAGACTAGTGTCAGAACACAGAGGGTAAACTGCTGGGTCACTCTTTGGCCCCCTCCTGGTAGGGGCCGGAACGTTTGACCAAAAATAACTTCAAGTCTCTTTGATGTTGAAGAATTCAAGCCAATGTTTTTTTTTTTTTTTTCATGTCTGATTTTGTTTATTTCTCTGGGCTGTAACTTCACACTCATCAAAACAAACTTTTATTATTAGGAATCTGTGAGTAAACGACTTCTAATTATTATTCTGGAAGATAAACCACAGCAGAGTTCCAAATGTGGTGTCAGACCCAGGTGTTTAGTTTAGTTTAGTTTAGTTTAGTTTAGTTTAGTTTAGTTTAGTTTAGTTTAGTTTAGTTTAGTTTAGTTTAGTTCACTAATGAACTGATGAACCAGTCACATCTGTGACTGACTGACTGACTGACTGTTTTTGACTGACTGTACTGACTGACTGTTTTGACTGACTGACTGTTTTGACTGACTGACTGTTTTTGACTGACTGACTGACTGTTTTGACTGACTGTTTTGACTGACTGTTTTGACTGACTGACTGTTTTTGACTGACTGACTGACTGTTTTGACTGACTGTTTTGACTGACTGTTTTGACTGACTGACTGTTTTTGACTGACTGACTGACTGTTTTGACTGACTGTTTTTGACTGACTGTTTTGACTGACTGACTGTTTTTGACTGACTGACTGACTGTTTTTGACTGACTGACTGGTCCTGCTGCTCCTGCAGGGTGGGCTGCTCTGGAGCACGCACTCCACGTTTGTGTTTTGTCTGCATAATCAAGGAAACCAGTAGTAAACTGTTATTTGAACAATCGATTAATACGAAGTTTTTAATTAATCAATACGCCATTAGGGCCATAAAAAAAAAAAAAGAATAAGACAAATGTACGGCAGACATCCTCAAAATGATAACAACGTCACTGTGTATGTGTTTAATTCACTGCAGTAGTATGTATTTATATATATATATATATTTCCATATAACCTGTTGTACTAACAGTCCCTGTAGTTTAGGACTATTATCCTTCCTGACTTCCTGACTGATAATTGACAGCCTGTAAAAACCAGCCAATGAAAACATCCAGCTGAAGTGACAACTTCCTCTCTGAGGTAAAACTGAAGTTTTCTTCTTCTTCTCTGCTCTTATTATTTGTTTCTGAACTGTTGTACTCCCAGTACTCAGTGACTGCTACTCTTGTACACAGTACTCAGTACTGAGTACTGAGTACTGTATGTGTATGTGACTCACAGGACGCTGTACGTGTGAAGAAAAGCCAAACCGAATGATCCTGGAAACTCCCACAGTGGCCACCTGGAGAATTGGAACCTCATAAATATCACGTGTGTTTATACGTCAAGGTGACGACTCCCTCCAGGTGAATCACCTGTGCTGGGTTTGGAGTGGGGGGGTGGGGGGGGGGGGGGGGGGCAGAACCCTGGACGCACTACGACCTGCTACCATCCAGGTGGATCCTGAATTTCCCTTTGAGACATTTTTAACAGGAGACAGTCCTGGTGTTGACTTTGGACTCAGAGGTTTTGTGAATGAAGTTGAACGTCATAAAACGACAAATGCTGCCTCCACCTGAGCAAAGATCACTGCACTGCAGCAATGATCTGTTGGTGTTAACGTCCACACAAGAAAAACCTGGAATTGAACCAGCAACCTGCCGATGTTACTGTTCTTGTTCTAACGCTGTTAAAAACACGATGCCGTTGATGAGGTTAAATGATTTGTTATTTTAAAATGTTCACACAGAACTCTGTAATATACAAAACACTACCTGACGTTCTGCCAAAGCCCTGATAAAGGGCCGTGTCACTGAATGGCAACCCTGACAATGTACATTGTTTTTTGGTAAATACCACCGGACTATTGTCAAAACACATCGAGACAAAGACAAAGAAGTTCAACAAGGGATGTTAGAATTCCAAACGGTGTCTTATTCCAAATATATAAATATTCTTTTTTAAACGTCAGGTGACCCCGTTAGAAGGTCAAGAGACTCCATGCGGGGTCACGACCCCAAGGTTAATCGAGTGAACATTAGGTTTTTCCATTGCAGCTGTGGTGAGTGTAGCCTTGTTCTTTTTCTATCCGTGTTTTCTCCGTCCACACGAGGACACACGAGGACACACGAGGACACACGTGGACACATGTCCCACTCACCTGTCTCCCCACTCTGTTGTTGTGCAGCCTCATGCGAGCGTGGATGTCCTTGTACGTCTCACGGGCATCCAGGAAGTCCCGGGAGAACTTCTCTCCAAATTCCACATCCGGGCTGCACCCGCCCCACTCCCAGGAGTCCTGGGGTCCTGGCAGCTCCGCGGGGAAGTGCTCCATGACGCCGTGCACCATGCCCTTGCCCCGGTGGATGGCCTCCAGCTGCAGCCGGTGCAGTTTGATCCTGAACGCCTCCTCGTCGCCGCGCCGCTTCTCGTCACAGCTGCAGGCCTTCAGCTTGCCCATGGAGCAGGCGTTCGCCACCGCATGCACCACACCTGCCGCTGCGATGGCGTACGCAAACGCGCTCTCCCTGAAACCTGCGGGTAAGGGAGGAGACAAAAATGTCAGCGGACGGAAAAAACCGGAACAAAGGACAAACGTCATCTTTCCTGTCACTTCTTCAAACTGAACTCAAACAGTGACCGTGCGTCCGGCCTGACGTATGAGGTCGGACTGATTGGCAGTCGGACGGTGTCGGTTGTGAGGCATGTGCTGCCTCGTCGTGACTGCTGTGAGAAGTTCATGAAAACACTTTGATGCCCCACGGGCAGAACATACCGGAGCGTCTTCAACCTGTCAGCTGAAAGGATGACACGACCTCAGAGGGAGATCCCAGCCACTTCTGTACTTTTTGTTCTCATCCAAGGCGTGTGTCTGCTAAAGCAGGGGTTCCCAACCCCTGGTCTGGGGACCAGTGCTGGTCCGTAGGTCATTTGGTACCGGGACAAAAAAATGTTGACTTCAGTTTTATCAAAGAATCCAGTCATGTCCCTTTACTGTTGTCATTCAAAGATAATCTGTCAATGTTTCAGAACAACAGGTCAAAGGTCATTCAGACTCTGATCACATTACAAGTCGTGGTCACTTTATCTTTCACATATGTGGGTTGAAAAAATATAATATTTTTAAAATATTATTATATTATGTTATTATTATTATTTACGTTTCTACAAGATGTGAAAAGATCAAAACCAATATATGTTCTCAGATTTTGATCCTAAACCTGGAGTCAAACCAATCCCAGGTTGATAACTTCAGCAGCGAGCTGTGAGAGGTCGGAGGTCAAACAGACACAGGTTAAAGGCCTCGCTCCGTCATAAAACCGTGTGACGACCGTTTGGTTTTGAACGTTGAACACATCTGTTTCTCCTTCAGGAAGTCTGACCTACATGCAGCACGTGTAATGAGCCACTGCTCCACGACCAATCTGTAATTTAGGAGACTAATGTCGCTGCCCCTACAGGCGGAATATAAACAGTCCGTGTGCGTGGACTGGAGGAAACTGAAAGACAGAAAACTGAAAGGACAAATTTAAAGGTTTGATACAACTTCTTCTATCACCGTATATTTATGTTTAACCTGATTATGTAAATATATTTAATGAAATATATAGAAATGTATTTACACATTTATGCAAATATGTATATGTGTTTTTTTGTGTGTATATATACAGAAATATATATACAGACACACATAAATATAAATATAAATATAAATATATACATATACGTACAACGACATAATAACTAATAACGATTAATGGTGATTAATTGTGATTGATCTTCCCTGTGATTAATCACATGAAAACATCTGATAAAACTCGTGTTTCCACAACAGTGGGATTAAAGGGAAACGTCAAGGATCTGGTTTACGATGTTTGTAGATGAACAGAGTGTTGTCAACATTCAGTGTCAACATGTGTCAACACTGAAGCAGAGACACTGAAGCAGAGACACTGAAGCAGAGACATGTCAACAACGACGTCTTCCTCCAGTGTGAACCTGTTAATCCCAGTTAATCCAACCTAACTTTCAGTTTGAGGAGTGTTTGATAAAAGTGTGTGTGGGTCTGTGGCTGCTGTGGATATGAGCAGTGACACACACACACCTGTACTACAGTACTGCAGTACTGCGGTACTGCAGTACTGTAGTAGTACTGTTGTGTCATAACATTTCCTATAGAAACAACTTCAGATGCAAAAGTTTGTGGCACAACATGTGGGTCGCACCACGACGGGTGTTCATGGAATTCATTGAATTATTAATGACATCTGATTATATTTTTGGTCTAACACGGGGGGCGGGGGTCAAACTCAGTGTGGTTCAGGGGCCAATGCGGCCTAATATACAAGTATATCAGAAAATATTTATATTGAATGAAATATAATTTGATGAAACATCAAAACTTTGTCACTTTTTTTCACTTTCAAAATTCATCAAGCGGGCCGGATTAAACCCCACAGCGGACCGGTCCTGGCCTGTGGGCCGCATGTTTGACACCCCTGGTCTAAGACTAGAAGGAAACACAAATCCACCAACTCTTTCCTCCAAACTGCCCCCCCCGCCCCCCCCCACACACACACACACACACTGGAGGAGGGAGACCAGAGGGACTGCACTTAGGCTGGTCGTACGTTTTAGCTGCGACCCCGCTCTCTCTCTCTCTCTCTCTCTCTCTCTCGGTCGGGCTCCCCGGCGAAGGCCCCCGGAAGACTGGGAGCAAATCAATCTAACAAATAATTCACCGGCTGCGGCACGCCCGGCTGAGCTGATGGCAGAGGAAGTGGCAAAATGAATTAAAGATTCAAAGGAAAGTGTCACAGTGTGTTACAGAAACCCACTAAACAGGTTTATGCTTTTGCCACATGAGTTGGGAAAGTGCTGAGAGCAAATTCACAAGCACTCGCACTGGCAGGGGCAGTAAAAGCATTAGGAGCGAGGGAGGAAAGAAAGGGTGAGGGGGGGGGGACGCAGGAGGAGACAGTCTGTCTCATCTGTGTCTCCCCGTGTCCTCTGTGACGTCGTCCCAGGTCTACGTTTTCAGTTCAACGTAAATGGATAAAAACGGGAGCCGTTAATTAAACCAGACCATCGTCTCAGAGACGTGCACATCCACAAATGTCCACTAGGGTTACAACTTTAATCTGTTCAAATTACAGTTCAAAAAACTCAAAGAGTCAAAGTATTTTTTTTATACTTGGCCGATGAAAGCGGCCAATCAGAATGATGTTTTTATCAAAACAGAGTTTTCTTCAGTTGAATCAAATTTTTTTCCGACTCCTAGGAATCAAATAAATATTTAAACACGCTCTGTGTCTGGTTATTCCCCCGTCCAATCAGCTCGTCTTCCTTTCACCGCAGCATCTGGAGCTTTAAATACCATCTCGACTCCCAGCATGCATTTGCAGGGGCTTCAACAGGTGAGCCCCCCCCCCCCTTGATTTATCTGCAGGAATATCTCCATGAAACTGTGATTCATCACCGCCGTGATGAATCACAGTTAATCACATCAACCTGTGATTTATTTCTCACTGCATCGACTCCTGCAGCGCCGCCACCTGTGTGCGTCAGGTGTAGCTGCACGCACCCACGGCCGCGGCGTGTTTACGTGCGTCGGCCTCCGAGCTTCTGTGGAGCAGAGTGTACCGACATGTAACGGATGAATCATCCGACTTAAAGAGGATGTTTATGTCAGCGGTTTGGAGTTTCTGCACCCGGGGCAAACCAGGGATGCCAGACAACAAGAGCTGCCTCTGCTAATAATGACAAACAGCCTCTCAACCAGTCAGTGAGGAGTGAAAGTGCACAGGCAGAGGTGTGTGTGTGTGTGTGTGTGTGTGTGTAGATAAAGACTGTTATTAAAGGATTTTTTCTTTTCTTTTTTTTTTTTTTTTAAATATTCACATTGACAGATTTTTTTTTTTTTTTTTTAAATATTCACGTTGACAGAAAATTCCACCTCGGTGGCTACGAAACATTTTCCAACTTCTGTTCTCATTTTTTATTTGTTTGATTGTTAATTTATCACAACATCTGTGTGAGAGACGGAGTTAAAGGACAGGAATTGAACCCTTGACGTGAAGCAAAACTCTGCATGGGTTCCGTCTGCTCCAGAGACAGAGCATGAACGGCACGGTGTGGACACGGTGTGGACCCGGCGCTGCGTCCACCACAGTCAGTAAGACGGAGTGAGTCCATCCTCTCTCGTCCCGTCCTTCTCCAGATCCTCTTTCATCCTTTGTGGTCGACCTGCAGAGCCGCGTGAACTACAAAGCGTCGGAGGAAACCGATCTGCGGAGGGTTTGGTAATCTGGAGGTGACTAACTGCGTTTGAAGTCGACTGCTCTTTTGTGCCGGTTATTGAGACGAGACGCTGGGCTGGTTAGAAAAGAGACACCGTCCTGCTAGTCACTGAAGATAACCTGACCATTCAGAGGAGCTCATTGTTGTCAGCTGACTATTGTCAATTGTCACTGTCAGGAAAGTGATCTCTCTTTCTTTTTTTTTTTCTAAAGCTGGTGTGAAGGATGACAATAAAATATAATCTGGTTTAATACCAGAGCAGTGACATTCAATAACGCACGCTTGAAACTAAAACCACAACTTGTGTGAAGACTAAACTTTCGACCCTTTTGTGGGGTAACATCTCACACTTTTGTTTTTTTGTGTGCTTTGTCACTTTGAGTTAAACTTGAAAAAGATCGATCAGTGACAAACATGTGGCTAAACCTCTGGTTTCCTCCCCGCGGCGGAGCAGCAGTTTACCTCTTTTGAAGACGATGCTGTCGTAGGGGATCTTGTTGCGGGTCTCCAGACTGGAGCAGTTCCAGCGGTGCCCTCGGAACTGATGCTGGCACTCGTGGATGGCGATCTGGATTCCCTGGATCGCCGATGCCGTCACATCTGGATTCCGCATGCACACGTCCAGCTGGCGCCGCGTCAGGCCCGGCAGGGTCAGACAGACCGTGTTGGCGTTCAGGATGGGGTCAATGTTGGGCAGCTTCAGGCCCAGGATCTCGTTGGAGTCTACCCTGCGTGGGGCACACAGATCAGTTAGTTAGTCACGACTAATCCACAGCTCTCTGTCTGGCGGGAATCGCACCATCAACCTATAAAAAGCACTACAAACTCAGATGGTTTTTTTTTAAATAGAAATCTCAATAAAAAACAATTTAACCAGAGGGAGCAATGAAGTTCAGAAATAGAAATCTCAATAAAAAACAATTTTACGGGGGTGGGGGAAATAAAGTTCAAACTGATCTAAAGTGAACTTTCATTAAAAAAAAAATCCAAATGCCACAGAAAAGTTTTTTTTTTTTTAAATAAATGGATCCAGTTTTTGATCAACAATTGTGATTTCCTGTCCAGGGTTCGATTCTTTACAGACAATTTCTAACTTTAGTTCTAACAAAACTTTATTTTCCTGATAAATTCATCTCTGTCTGTAACTGTGTGTCAGTGAAAAAGTTTTTTTTCCCGAGGCCAGGGTGCTCTGGCCCAGACGGGTCACCTGACTGTCACGTGCACAGGTGACGCCGGTGACTAACAGACTTCAACCTAATGAACTTGTTGCAGCGGTGGCTCAGCGTTCAGGCCTCTGCACTGACGACGGCCTGAACGCTGAGGCCTGAACGCTGAGGCCTGAACGCTGAGGCCCGCCGCGGGGAGGGAACCAGAGTTTTAATACGCCCGACCTTTTCTTTTTCATCATCTTAAAAAGTAAAACTGAGGTTTGTTGTGGAGCCCGCAGCGTGCAGCGGCGTGGGCAGCACGGGTCACACATCAGGACGCCCGCAGCTGCACAGGTGTGCACGGCAACACACACACACACACACACACACACACACATGCACCGAGGGAGAATCACTAAATGTTAAAATAGTTTTGTTACTGAAGAGTTAAAAATGTTTTTTTTGTTTGTTTTTCTTGTGGTTTTCAGTGCTACCTGTCGTGTTCCTGATGTGTCTGAACAGCTTCTAGTGTTGGGTTTGTTGACTGTAAACTATTTTTTTTTACTCTAATAAAAACGAGATAATTGTTAACTGACATGAAACCGAGTCGACGTTTAGTGTCAGTTTTTATACTGTGTAATTTAAGACATGACTGAAGGAGGAAACGCACGTGTGTCAGGGTTGAAGGTGAAAACGTTTTTGGTTTTTTATCTGATTTGCACTGAAGTGTTAAAACACAAATAATTGACTGAAACAAACTTTAGATATAATTTAGAGCGTGTGTCCCAGGAGTTCTGTAGTGATGTTTTTGACTTTTAATTTTTTGTGTGAAATATTTTAAATTGTCTAAAACATTGAGGCAGGATTTATTTCCTGCTGTTCTCCTGAACTCCACCAGTCTGTGAAACTAATACATACAAATAATGAATAAATTATAATCATTAATATTAAAAATAAGAAAAAAGTACTGTACTGTAAATTACTACATAATAATAAAATCCTCCAGGACTGTTGTTATCTGGACCTTACCTTTGTTCCAGGAGGCAGAGAAGCAGCAGGGAGCAGGTTATTCTCAGAGCTAAATGTTCCATTTTTGTTTGGTGGAATTAAAAATCAAATCAAATCAAATGAACAAAATCAAAAAAAGTTCATAAAAATGTAGCAGGATTCAAAGAGAGCCCAGATATTCCACTGTAAAGACCACGGAGAACCAGCAGGGACGGGGTCAGGTCAGGTAGGACCGGCGGCAGCCGCTGGACCCGTCGACTTCAGAGGAGTCCAGATGTGGCAGCCAGAGGCGGGACCGTCACTCAGGCCAAACTTTTATCCAGCTCTGCGGGCTCCTGCAGAGGGTGATGGTGCTACAAGTTGAGGGGACACTGGCTGGGGTCTCCCGGGGAGAGAAGTCTGTCCTGCAGATCCGTACGTGGCTCCAACATCCCACACACACGCGCGCGTCTGATCCAGGAGCGTCTCCAGATGAAGTCTGCCGGACTGCTGCTGGCTCCCTGCGCACGAGACTTCTCCAAAACCCTGCACCCGCAGCTGGACCAGCCCACTTCACTGCGTCACTGTGAGGGAAGGAGAGCGCGGAGGGAGGTCAAGTGCCTGGGTAGAGCAGGATAGAGATCCTATCAGATAAGAGGTGAGAGAGAGAGGAGGGGGGGTGAAGGGAGGAGGGGGAGAAAAAAAACACTTAGCGTGTGCCCTCTGTGAGAGAGAAGTTTAATGTTCACCGGAGGAGCGATGCTGAGGACAGGGGCGGTCTTAGCAATAGCACACGGGGGGGGAGGGGGGGCCTCTTAAACTCACCCCCCGAAGGTTTTTTTTTTTACTGACAAAGGAGCAAAAACAGTAGCAACAAAAATATGAATTATCATACATTTAGATAAATAGAAAAAACGGAATTGTAAAATTAAAATAAAATATATTTTAAAAATTTTGAAAAATTAAAATAAAATATATTTTAAAAAATTTGAACACATATATAAATATATATGTATCATTATGTTCCAAGTCCTAGGGGGCAGTAGAGGGTGTAAAAATGCAGCACAGGTTAATTGAAACCTTCAGTCCGTCACCAACGTCATGACTGTCTTTTACCACCAGGCTGACGTGTGAAACAATGTACTGAGTGTGTGATATATTTGCGTGTGTTTTGATGTTAAGTTCATTTGGACTCAGTGGAGAGGAATGTGTTTTAAAGCTGAGAGGTTTTGGTTAAATTTGTCTTTAGTCTCCAACCGTCCCCGGGAGCCGCCGCCGCCTTTAATCTTCGTCCTCCAGCGGCCGTAAAGAACGACAACAACAAAAACACACTCCATTGTTCGTATCGCTGGGCTTTATGAGCCGCTCAGAATCAGGACTCTGGGACCACAAATAAAAAGATTTTCCCCACCACTGGAGGGAAGCAGCCAATCAGCAGGCACCAGAGCAGTAAAACACTGCACTCAGCCACAATTAAGTTGCCTCGCACAAATTTAGAAGATCAGGGAGACGACACCACATCAAGTTTTCTCTGCGAGGGATTTATCACAGCAGCACCCGATCTGGAAGAGTTTGGCAGCGTCGGCGTCTTCTGGGCCTAATGACTTCAAGGCCTGTAAGGAAAGCAGGCTTGTTAGTGGATT